TTCATATCAGAGGCTGCTCTAACTAAGCACCATCCACTAATGACCCTGACACTTCACTGTGCCTCTTCAATGAAAGCTCTCCACCCACTTCATCTACATTACATCACGGATTGATGTCATTCAGAAAGCAAGCACTTGTATTAAAATTCAAGGGGTGATGTCATCAGTGGCATGGCAAACACTACACACTGGATTACTAGAAAACACAAAAAGGCAATTAATTCATTATTTCAAACAAAAAAACAAGTCAATGCAACAATACATGTCAAACCCTAAAACCTATCATTGTAAATTAGGCTCGCAGTCAATAGAAAGAAATCACTTTTTTCCAACGTTTTCAGCCATTCGGCCTTCATCAGTGTCACAGTCTCACAGTACAACTGCTTCTTTAAACACTGCATACAGGTTAAACCTCTTGAGTTAATTAGCCTGCATCTGGTTGACTATGACTGAATACTCAGGTAAAAGTAACAATATGTTCAAAGCCCAATAATAGACTTTCTATGTTCTGAGATCTCAGCTTGCTTCATTCATGAAGCAGGCTAATTAACTCAAGAGGTTTCACCTGTATGCAGCGTTTAAAGAAACAGTTATACTGTGAGACTGGGACACTAATGACATCTGTCTTCTTGCAGAAAAACGCGATTTCTTGGGATCTAATTTCTAGTTATTGGCTAATATGACTGGGATAATGCACCAGTTTTTCCTGAGCATGGTGGAATCTGTACACAAACTGTAAAACCTGGAGTGTACTGCTCTGCAGAAAAGGTGGATTTTATGATGGCTGACTAGTAAACTACTAGGCCTACACACACACACACACGCATTTTCTCTTCTTTGTAATGCCAGTGAGCAATGTCATACTCACACCCGAAGCAACCCATCACCTCTTCATACGTTACAGAACCGTGACTGTACGACTCATGAACAACACCTCAGCTTTGATCCACCAGCAGGGTTTGCAGTCACAGCAGCTTTCTCAGTCTGATCTGGGATGGGGCAAACTAACAGGTCTGTACATCATCTAGAACAAAGTGTCCTGCTCAGTCTTTCAGCTCTGAACACTGCCTTGACAAATATAGCTAGGCCCTTCTTCCTTGAGAGTAAGAAAAGGAAAAAGGAAGCTTCAAATGGACACTCCCTGATTTCCTCCTAGTTCCTTCCCTTGGCTGGCTGCGTTCAGGCACCACCTGTCTGTTGGCGGCGACGGTTTTTTTTGTAGTGAGCTTGAACAATGGCATTCCAGCCCTGCTCACAGCTTACTGGCCCACAGCTCTTCCCCTCCCTCCCTTCATTTCTTTTCCTCATTCCTATTGTTCGTTCTTTTTCACATCTCTCTCCCAACCATATAAATGCAGTCAGAACGTCAGCAGGCCTGATCTCTGCCACAAACATCTTGGAGATGGAGATTTTCTCAGGCACACAGGCCCCATTGTTGCTACTTACCAAGTGATTACAAGGCCTACTCACTAAGGAGCTCTGCCGAGCTCTTTCACCGTCCTCCTCTCCTCTGGGCTGCCTTCCCTTCACATGGACTTGAACTGCAGCAGCTGTACGGTGACATCAGGAGGAAGCATGAGGAGCCTAGAGCCCTCAGGCTCCTCCCCTCTTGGCTGCACGACCACTGTCTTAAGGTCCGTTCCCTCAGCAACCCTCCTTGGTTCAGTTCCTCCCACTTGCCTCACCACAGAAAAAGGATCTTTCTTTAAAAACAGCCTCTCCCTGACACCGGCTCTTGGTATTTTGTATGTGCTTAGAGAAAATCTGGATAATAGGACCATAATGCACATTGAAATATAAGAGAAAATACAAAACCTATGTCAATGAAGTCACTGCAGATGGTTTAAAT